TTAGGATGGCAAAAATGGAACGATAGAAAATTATGATTGGAGAGAATTCAGAAGTTCAAAATCCTGGTGGTAGCTTGGGATTTTAACATGTAGGGAACAGGGGGACAAGAAGCAGCAAACAGGATCAGAGCAATCAAGCTAAAGGGACCACAGAAGCTATCTAGTTCAAGACCCTCATTCTGAAGTGGATGAAATTAAGGCCTAGAAGAGTTACATGACTTGCCCAACATCACACAAGTAGTAAGCAAAAGAGGTAGGATTTGAACCCAGAGGTCTTCTGACTCCAGAACCAGGCATCTTTCCAGTGTACCATCATGAGAGATGCTTCTTTCAGGATCCTGCCTCTGTTATCCAGTGTCTTCTCTATCCTTCTCAACATTATGTCATCCACAAGTATGATAAGTATGTTGCGAATGCCTTTATCCAAGTCTTTGCTGAAAAATATTAAACAGCGCAGGACTAAGAATGGATCCCTAGGGCACTCCACTAGACACCTCTTGCCAAGTTGGTACTGAACAATTAATGGCTACTCCTTGAGTATGGCTATGCAACTAATTGTGAATCCATCTAATTGTACTTATCATCTAGTCCATTTTCAACAAGAGTGATATAAAGTACTTAATCAAATGCTTTGCTAAAATCTAGGTAAGTAGCTTTCCCCAGATATACCAGTTTAGTTACCTCGTCAAAAAAGAAAATAAGATTAGTATGGCACGACCTATTCTTGATAAAGCCATTCTGGCTCTCTGTCGTTTTCATTTACTTTTCTAGATATTCACTAACATCTCTTTAATGATTCATTCTGTAATTTCCTCAAGAATTGAAGTTAAGCTCATTGGCCCATAATTAGCAGACTTCATCTCTTCCTTTTTAGAAAATTGAGATAACATTTGCTTTTCATTTGTCCTGAGAAACCTTTCCCGTCCTCCCTAAGTTTTTAAATATTACTGACCAGGGCTCAGCAGTCACTGTTGCCAGTTCTTTCAGTACTTGAGAATGTTGTTCATCTAAGCCAGGTGTCTTGAACTCATCAAAAACAAATAGCTGCTCTCCTCCTATCTCCTTATATAGCTTGTATACTAATTCCCTGTTAGTACATTTTAGAGGTCTGTCATTTCTAGGGTAAAAGTTATTCTTGGACAAAAAAAAAAGAAAAGAAAAATAAGAATTGAACAATTCTGCCTCCTCCCTGCTGTCCTTGATCATCACCTCATGAACTCCGGTAAGTGATCCTATCCCTGTTTAATCCACCTCTTTGCCATAATACAGCCAAAGCAGAACAAATAAAAGCCCTCTTTTTGTTGCACTTAGCGTTCTTTACCAGCCTCTTCTCATTCTGGATTTTAGCATTTCAGATGCTATCTTTATAGGACAAGGCCACAGCTTTGTGCTTCCTCTGTTATCTGTCCTTGCTTCCATCTTCTGTATGACTTCAATACCTTAGCTGACTGGTAAAGTCCTCGTGAAATCCACATCAGTCTTTTCAGATAATACCCACATTTCTTGGTCAGAAGTGTTTTCCTTTGCGTCTTCAGAATGTAATCATTGAGGTTCCAATTATTCCTGAGCTGACTTCTCCTCTAGAATTTTAGTTCATGGGATCCCATAAAACTCTTTTCTCGTTCTTTTGAGATCTGTGCTTCTAAAATCTAGGGTGCATGTCAGACCATGCCTGACTTTCTTCTCTCTCTCTATTACAAACCCTGGAGGGAGTTAGCACTTCTCCCAAAGTTCCCATCATTTCTACCTGTGCAACCTGTTCTTTTTGTTCATGGAATCCTTAATAGAATTTCTCCTTTGTTGGTTCTTTCACCTTTTGAAAGATGACATTTTAATGTTGGTAAGTTAAAAAGCTATAAGCATCTATGCTCTTGACAGAGAGAGTACCTCCAGCAGCTACTTTGATAATTGAAGTCCCCTGTGACTATTATATTAGGTCTTTATGATAGGCTTATGATCTCTTTCTTCAACTCCTCATTTATTATCTCTTTCTGTCCAGATGGTCTATAGTATATGGGGTGTGTAGGATGTTCTGGGAGGACTGGCATCTCTGGTGTGAGGTTTTCCAAACCCCTTTCAGGGTTGCGTATCCACCTTTGGTGTCCACCTGTCACCCAACTCTCACCTGTGGTTCCAGGAAGCTATTGCATGCTCAGAGCCACATCCTGCTAAAATCAGCCTGCAGACAGGCTAAACCATATTCAGGGTAACCCATAGACCTCTAACCTGTCAGTTAGTTAGGGGGATGTCTGCCTCAAGCCTGTGAAGACTTTTCATTGGTGGAATGAGTGGATGAGAACAATTTATTTCAACTGCCATGAAGGTGGCTAAAACAGGTGCTATGGAGTGCTCAGAGTTTGGTCAGGCATCAAAGATGCCAAGGTCATCCACTACATCCCAGGCCATCGCTGGTTGTCTTGATTTTTGTTTTGCCACTGAACTTGATGACTCTGGAGGAGAGAGTGAGGCTGTCAACTTTGTCCAGCTCTGCCTCACTGAAATCCAATTCTCACGCAAGTCATCACCTGTGGTATTGGTCCTCTTTGAAAATGAAGGACTACCACCAGCACCAAGTATAAACTGATGACAAAATTTCATCTGTTTTCCCTCCATTGAGCTTCTCCCAAATTCTTTCTACCATGCTAACACACTCTTGTTCCTAGATTTTATCCCATTATATATGTATATATGTGTATATATGTATATATATCAAATCTTAATATACATTCTCCTGCCTCACCTCTCCCTTTTACCTATTCAGTTTCTTTTGAATAGTTTGCCCCTTCAGAACCATATTCCAGTTTCATGGCACCAAGTTTCAGTATTATCAAAAACAAAAAACAGCTATCTCTCCAAAGATTTTAATAGCATTATTTTTGGGGGGGGGTGTTAGGCAATGGGGTTAAGTGACTTGCCCAGGGTCACACAGCTAGTAAGTGTTATGTGTCTGAGGCTGGATTTGAACTCAGGTCTTCCTGAATCCAGGGCCAGTGCTTGAGTGATTGAATGACTTCCTTCGTTGGCATTATGAGGTGCACAACTAGAAATGGAAAAGACAAATGCTGTGAGTAAATCTGGGATTCTAGCAAGGTACGGATGGAGAAGAGACAATGGACAAGGGAATATCCACTGTGCCACCTAGCCTCCCCATTAACTTTTTTTTTTTTTTGGTTTTTGTTTTTTTAGGCAATTGGGGTTAAGTGACTTGCCCAGGGTCACACAGCTAGTAAGTGTCAAATATTTGGTCTGAAGCCGGATTTGAACTCAGGTCCCCCTGTGTTCAAGGCTGGCACTCTATCCACTGGGCCACCTAGCTGCCCTCAACATTATTTTTAATGTTTATTGATACTGGGTTTTTTTTTGCTTTTTACACTATAGCCAAGTCCTAATACATGCCATTTCTATAGGATTCTTCCTTACAACCGAGGAAAAAAAAATCAAACAAAACTATCTAACAGTGCTTTTCTTCCTTTTGCTTAGTGTTGTATTTGCTTATCTATTCTGGGCAATTTTCCCTAATTAATTCCTTAAAAGAAATATGGTAGATGAAGCATTGGATGTAACATCCCTCTTAGTTACACTCTGACTCAGTATATTGTTTAGGTTATTATCTATTCAAAACCACAACTCAAGTCCCCACCAATGCATCGTTTTGCAAGACCTTATCAAATGGCACATATGTTCAAAAGCAAAAGGTGGTTAAAACAGAATAGCAAAGGAAATAACAAGAAATTGAAGCAGGCAATAAACATTTTCTAAATGAAGGATTCCCAACCTGTCTTGTGTGGTAGATGTCTTTGGCAGTCTGCTGAAGGCTATGGGGTCCTTTCTCAGGATAATGTTTTTAAAGACATAAAATAAATATAAAATAAATAAAAAGAAAATACATGGAATTAAAAAGAAAATCAATTTTTTAGGAAAGACTTTGATAAATGAAATCAGGCAACTAGATGCCATAGTGAAAAGCACACTGGACCTGGAATAAGGAAGACCTGAATTCAAATACAACTTCAGACCCTTAGTAGCAAGTCTACTTCAGATTTCCCATCTGTAAAATAGGAATAATAATAGCAACTACCTCCCAAGGTTGTTGTGAGGACTGAGATTAATATTTGTAAGGTACTTAGCACAGTGCCTGACGCACGGTAGGCACTATATAAGTACAATTATAATTATAATAAGTATTATTTGGAGAGCTATGCACTGAGTAAAAGCTGCAAAGAGAAAAGGGTTTAAGGATGAATTCAAGATTTAGAGCGAGAAGGAACCTTAGAGGTCATCTAGCTCAACTTGCTCTTTTTTTTTTAAACAGATGTGGAAATTTGTTCCCAAAGCTGTGACTTGCCTAATAGGGTCACAGAGCAAGGATTTAAAACCAGATCTTTTGATTCCAAATTCAACACTCTTTTCTAGGAAAATTTCTTAATTTTAGATAATCATAAAGTTATCCAAAAGTAGAATGGTCAAAGGCTAGATGACCGTTGTCAGGTATGTTGTAGAAAGGATTCAGGTACTCAGCGGTCAGGTCCTGGAAGTCCTTCCCAACTCTGAGACTCTGTGTATTTGGAATAATCTATATTTCATTTGGAAGTATTTGGAATTTTAAAATTGCAAGGTACCATTAAAGAGTTACTCCATAGTCAACTAAATTAACCACTCATGAAATAAAATTAAATTTTGGATGTTTTGAAAATTCTTAGGTTATAGCCTTTACATAGAACATCAGAAGAGTACTTTTAAAAATCAAGATTTATGGTCAAATGTATTTTTATATTTTATTCGTGGTTTTTCATAATGATAGTTAACAAAAATAATACCTAATATTTTCCTTTAAAATAATACAAGGAAATAAGAATCAAATCATTTTTAAAGTTCACTTTAAAATTTTATAACTATTTCATTTTAATTGTTTCAATGTAATTCATGTTTATTGCATATGATATATTATAATTTTACATATTTTGCATGAATATTATACATTCCATATTTATTTTTCTCAGGAGGCTTATTTGGAAAATCAGAAGGAGAAGATACTTTTACATTCCCATTTTCATCAGAACCTTCAACTCATACATTTGGAGATGGAAAAGATGACTTTAGTTTTTCATTTTCATTTGAACAGGAACAACACTCATCACAGTCTTCCTCTTCAATCAGTTTTCCATCTTCACAAAATTCCAAACAGTTTACTTTTTTTTGAATTCATGATTGTGCCACCCAAGAATTTACAGTATGAGTTTACATTCTTACTGGAACATATAAATATTGTTTATTTCCTTTCCCTTTCAGTTGATGTAGTAATACATTACTGTTGTTTTATGAGATTATATTGATTTCAGTTTGGAAAAAAGTCTTTGTTATTAAATTCTGTATCTGTGGTATTGGTTAATTATTACTCATATTAAATGTGATTCCATGGTCCTAATTAAGCTAGAATTACATTCACTTCCGCAGATATTAATGATAAGTATTGAGTCCGATTGGACCCATCACACTATGGCGCTCTATTATGTGCTTTGGAAGTAGCACACTTCTTTCAAGGCCACTGTGGTATTGCTTAGTGCATCCCTGCACAGTGTTTATCAGTGTTGTCAAGCACTTAGGCACTAGTGAACTGGGGGCATTTCTGCTTCTAAGTGCTGTCAAGTGGTGCCATTGTGGTATTCAAAAATGAACGTGCCTCCAAATAATCTAACTTGTTACCAAGAAGTGATTTAAGCACTACAGAGAAAAGAGCTTATATAATTTTTTGGTAGAGAAAATGGAACAAGGAAGAATAATTATTTTAATATTTTTATATTAAATAAATTAAATGAAACATATTTTGGTATAATTGGTGAAAATTCAGGAAATTATATTATTGTGCCATTAGTGAGATTGTTAACATACTAATTATATTCTGTGTGGAAGCCCTGTAAAAACTGTATTCCTTGTGTTAATTTACTAAGGACTGATTATTCTTTATGTTTTATATACATAATTTATAAATATGGTTATGTCTGATTTAAATTAAAATACTTGAGACCATCAACTTTTATAAACATAATCTGTCATTTAGTACCTTTAGTTTATGTGTAATTCTTTCAGAAATTTCCTACCTAGAATATTTTTTCATTAACTATATTATATGAAATCTTGTGGATGATTTAGCTAATGTTGGAAAGGCTGGAAATTGGAAGCTATGTTAAAAGATAACAGCAATACAAACTTTGAAGAGTGAAAAATTCAGTCCATTAACTTACTGTTTTTGTTTATAAGATGCATAGAATTTGGTGTGATTTACATTTTGACCAAGGTAAATAGTTTGGTGCTAGGAAGACATAGACTATATGGTGGCAATATGGTGTGGTGGAAAGCACACAAATACAGAAGACTGAACTTGGAACTAGAGGATATATAGTAAAATTCTATCTCTGCTACTTATTATCTGGATAGCCTTTGAAAACTCATTTAAACTTTGTGAACATTCTTCAATTATGTAAATGAAGGCAGTGGAAGTAAATGATATCTAAGGTCCTTTCCAGCTTTTTTTTTAAATTGATGATCGAAGTTATAAGATGTAGAGCTTCTAGGAACAGATCCAGACCAGTGGGTAGCTAAAATGAGAACTCATCGGTCAGTTATGCAGCATCTGGAGTAAACTTGGGACCACTGCTGTGCGGAAACTTAAGTCTGAGCCCACTATCCCCAAGCAGGATAGTAGGATAGGGGAGAGTATGCTTTCTGAAGTATTGAGGGGAGATGTTTGTGCTTTTGACCTTGCTACATCTTCAAATCAAATATAATCTTACAAATAGTCTTTAAAACACAGATGTGGTGGCCACATTAAAAAAAGATTCGCCATTTTTAAAGCCAACCAGGAAGTCATGGAGAAAGCAGCAGAAGTCTACACTAGGCTCAAATCAGGGATCCTGGGACCAAAGATTGAAGCAAAACAGAACACTAACAAGCCTGCCTTGAGGAAGGTCAAAGCAGAGGCGAAGAAGAGTGAAGATCAGTTGGCAGGCGGGGTGGCCCCCAAGGAGAAGACAGAGGAGGAACCCAATGCTGATTTCTCAGCTCTGGTGAATGGAGAGTCTACAACCCAAAAGGAGAAGAAGTGGTGAGGACAAAGAATGAGAGGAAGGACAGAATATGGGAGAGGGGCAAAGATAGAGGTCGTCTGAAGACCTGTACAACGACAACATTCAAGAGGATCCAGAACTGGACAGGCCAGGGAACGACTAGCAGGAAACAGCAGGTTCGGATAGACTTGGAGTCCCTTGATGAGGAAAGCTGAGGTCCTGGGTGCGCTGCTGCCGACCTCTGCCTGGCCCTGTGTTTAAGCCCTTTCACTAAGTTCCATAGTAGATGATATTTAGGTCTTGTTCCCCTTCTGTCCCCAGACTTCTGTGAAAGCTGAGAACCTTTGGGAGATGCTGTGCTCTTTAGTTGTATTTGTCCCCTTGGGTTTTTTTCCCTCACCTAATTTCTGTGATTTCAAAACAATGTGAAATGAACACAAAGGGTTTTTTACTGAAAAAAAGAAAGAAAGAGAATTTATGTTAATCAATGTTAACTGGCTAACTGGAACTGGGGTATTAGCTATGCAATACTGACTTACAGTGAAATGGGGCTGGGGGACACAATCATTAGGTGCTTGAGTCTATCACATTAGAGAAGAGATACCCCAACCCCTGCTTCTAGAGCTCTGAAGGGGAGATATAGTTGGCCTCTTAGGATAAGTGAGGCCAGAGAGAGAAAAATGAGCATTTATTAAACTCTTACTACATGTAGGCATTGTGCCAAACTGTGGGGATGCAAATAAAAGAACTCAAGAAAGTTCTTACTGTCAAGTAGCTTACCTTCTAATCAGGGGAAAAAAATAACACAAGAGAGAGGAACTGGGGAAATGGAAATAGGAGGATGGGATACACACATGCAGTGATATGATTGGAGATACCCTAGAAGTGTGATAAAGGCCTGGAGCAGAGCAAGATAAGGCCAAAGTTGGACTTTGAAAGCCCAGGGTGACTTCAGTGGTGGAGTCCATTCTCGGGTGGGAAGGAGTAGAGATGATGGTCTGAGTGGAGTGGAGTGCAGTTGGCATGATTGGAGATATCCGGAAAGCTTATACTGGACAATATTCCCTCAAACGGGTCATTTAGCCTTTGCTTGAAGACTTTGAATGAGGAGTTCTTAAGGCAATCCATCACACTTTGGGATATTTCTAATGGTTAGATCCTGCCTCTCTGTTTTTCCACACACTGCTTCTAGTTGTCTTCTGGGTACAACCAGAACAAACCTAATGATGTTCAAATACAGAGACTTAGGAGGATAGCTATTTTATCTCTTGTAAGTTTTCTCATCTCAAGTCTAAACATCACCACTTCCTTCAACTAATCTCAGGTCATTCCAAGAGAAATCTTCAAGGGAAATTAGAATACTAGGCAGGGTTCCAAAGTATGGATTTGGATTCAGTAAGACAGGGATCCAGTTTTTGGAAATGGGATATGAGGAGAGAGCTTGGTCACAGCCAACAAGGCTGAATTATTCGGACCAGAGTATAAGGTCAGAGTTGGACCAACAGCAAGGTTGACTTAATGGTATGTCCCCTGAACTATGAACTTGTAGCTTCTTATATTCTTTGGATGGTCTCAGATATTGGGGTGGAGTTAAACCTGAAAACTTGGGTTAAACGGTCTCAGGTTTGAGAATTAAATTTACAAGGGAAGAGAGTCACAATGTCCCCCGAGAGCAGTAGTGGGGTAGAGTGCTGCATCTGTTAAAAGATGAAATAGAAAACTTCTGGCTTACCTCTCTTGAAATAGTAATAGGTAGCATTTATAGTTCTTTAAGGTTTGCAAAGTGCTTTGCAGATGTCATCTCATTTGACCCTCAAAACAACTTTGGAGGTATATTATTATTCTCGTTTTACAGATGAGGAAATTGGAGCAGACTTTCCCAGGGTCACATAATAAGGGTCTGAAGTTGGGTCAGGTCTTCCTGACTCCAGGTCCTGTACTTTATCCACTGTTTTTTAGGTGCAAAATGTGATTCCACTGAAGGATGGGGAAAGGCAAAGTCCTTCTCTAATATAGTCTCATGGTGATCCTGGCCACATGGCAGCTAGTGCTATAAAGCTAAAATTATGCAGATTTGCTCCTGGTTCTCTAGCATTCTCTTGTGTTGACTTCCTTGAGTAGATGACCTTGTGAGTTAAAAGGTTCTGGAGATGGTAGCATCCACTGGATTGGTTGATTGCAGAGACAAACAGTTGAAAGAAGCAGCCTGGCAGTAGAGGACACTTCTACATTGGAGAGGATTTGCTTAAGTTTTACCCATGACACTAACAGCCAAGTGCCAGGAATAGTGGAAATGCAGCACTGAGGTAAAGTATAAAATACCTGGAATAATAGTGTTCCAAAATTGTTTTACGTTCTAAAGAAGCTTAAATATTAGCTTCCTGGCCTGTTGAGCTATCGTTATTGTAAATTATTTAATGCTATTTTTAATGTGCATCATGATTCTTCCATGTATTGAATTTCTTTATGTATAGGAATAAAGCTGGCTTGAAGCTTAACATAGAAAACCTCAAAAATCCTAAGATCTTGGCAACTGGTCCTATCACTTCCTGGCAAATCGAGAGAGAAGAAATGGAAGAGTGTCAGATTTTATATTCTTGGGCTCAAAGATTGTTGCATATATTGACTGCAGCTATGAAATTAAAAGATGCTTGCTATTTGGAAGGAAAGCTATGGCAAATCTAGACAGCATACTGAAAAGCAGAGACATCACCTTGCTGACAAAGATCCATATAGTCAAAGCTATGGTTTTTCCAGTAGCAATGTATGACTGTGAAACTTGGACTATAAGAAAGCTGAGCACTGTAGAATCAATTCATTTGTGGTGCTGGAGAAGACTTTGGAGAGACCCTTGGACAGCAAGGGAGTTAAATCAATCAATACCTAAAGAAATTAATTCAGGCTATTCACTGGAAGGTCAAATACTGAAGTTGAAGCCTAAATACTTTGGCTACATAATGAAATGACAGAACTCGTTGGAAAAGATCTGATGTTGGAAAAGATTGAAGGCAAAAACAAAAGAGAACAGCAGAGGATGAAATAGATAATGTCACGGAAAAAATGAACATGAACTTCATGAAATAGTGGAGGATAGAAGGGCCTGCTGTGCTCTATGTGGTTCATGGGGTCATGAAGAGTCAGACATAGCGGAACAAACAACATAGGAATAAACTATATACCATCTATCTGTTTCAATTGTATATTGAGTACCTTGTTGGCTTCCCACTTTGGGGGTGAAAATCTAGACTTGTAAGCCACAATTTTTACTACAATTAGCATTATCCTTGCAATGCCAAGGTGAAATGCCAATGAGCCAATGTAATGATGTGTGTTTGTATAGGGCTTGCACAGATGTTCTCTGCCTGCATCAGGCCATAAGTGACTCAGAGGCTTGTCGTGGGAGGTAACAGAGTTCCCTATTTGACTGCGATGCTGGAGAAGCTGATGACTCATCAAGCGTAACAAGGTGTTTTCTAACTATCTCCTTACTATCTTGGGTTTCAACTCCCTGTTAGCCATTTTTATTCCATCATTTCTAGTGCAAAAGTTATTTTCCTTGGCAGAGAAAAACAAAATGAGAATTGAGCATCTATGCTTTCTTTTATTTCTATTTTTTTTTTGTCAGTCATTACTACAAGCAGTGGTCCTGTCCCTTCTTTAATCTTCCTCCTCCCCATATAACTTTAAAAAAAGCCCTTAGCTTTCCTCTCTCTCCTCAATTCA